GTCTAGTCGCTTTCGGAGAAACGACCTCGTTGGTGGGTCAGATCCTTCACCACCATCCTCGTCACACTCCTCTACTATCCCTTCATTGAGAACGCCTGTGTTTCTGTTAGGGATTTCTAAACTACGGAGTTGACCACCGAGATTAATTTCTCTCTCTCGGCGAGTCGCGCTCGTGGACTCAGGTGTCATAGTGCTAAGGGGATTCTGCGCCTGTGGCACACTCTGTCCTATGCTCTGACTCGGCAAATCGGCTGTCGACTTTCCCATAGCTGTTTTCTTTTTTACCGATCGTGTTTCAATTGGCATGAACTTCGTAGTTTAGCACTGGGTCCCACTAGGCGTGCCAAAATGTTGACCCTAGAAACTACAAAGCCTACGTGGCGCGCAGGCCGAGTAATTACTGAGCTAACTACGTCATTCGGTGAATGCGGGGCGTGCCAACTCGTCCGCCGAGCTCGGCCGATGAGTAAATTTGTTGATGTTGCGTTGGGTCGCGCTACTGACTTCTGCGTCTTGCGATTGCGGCCGAGAAAGGAACACGTCTCGGCCTCTTGGGCTCTCGAACCTGAAGACAAGGTTACTATTCTTACGAAGTTCAATATCAAATTCGGCTTTCAATGTGCCGAATGTAATAACTGTAACACCTCACTTCGCCGAGAAAGCTGATGAGATGACCTCGACCAATAAGGATTTAGAACCCTTCTCGACCGAGACTTGGATAGGCAATCAACCGTTCTCGCCGCAGTGCTGTTGATGCCAACGGAAGATACTGCGAGACCGACTGACTCTACGGTGACAGAGCTATCTATGCCGACTTAAGATATCACCGGTTGCTTCCACAGTGCTGTTGATGCCAACGGAAGATGTGTCAGCGAAAAGGAAAAAGAAAAATCACAAGTTGTGAGAGTTTGCGCAGGGCAATTTTGTATTGATTTGCAGGGGTCTCTCTGTTGCTGAATGTCTTGTATTTATAGTAGCAGAACATCGAGCCCGAGTTCCAATCCTATTCGGACTAGGTTTCCTTCTCCGGATTAACATCCCCTCGATCAGTCCTATCTCTGCTAGGACTACGAATCTAGTCCTTAACTGAGCCGGATTCGCTTTCTAGATTATTGATCTCGTCGAGAGTCCCTATTGTACTAAGACTCGACTTGCGTTCTGATTTAACCGACTTAGGCTTGGAAGCCCATGAGCTGAACGCTCCATGACCCTTTCGCCGCACGGCTTCTCGGGTCGAGAGTGATTCTACCCTCGGCCCAAACTATTATTTTGGGCCCAAACAGGTTCTTAATACTAATTTTCATTTTTGATTAGTTCAAGGTTTTTTTTAAGATGGACCAAATTAAGAAGGAGAGAAACTTTGTGAGTGAGATTAAAAGTTTCCAAAACATTGTTTCGAAGAGAAACTTTGAGATCGAAAACGTTACACGATTTGGAAGCGGCGAAGATAGTGTTATTGTATAAGGCGTGTGGCAGGAGGAGTTGGGGAGAGACTTTGTTCTCACTGCCGACCGACTTGACCAAAAACATCCACATGTCCGCTCTTATTGTTGAAACGTTGACAAGGCAGGGTGCGAAAAGAGAAACAAACAGAAAGTATATTTTTCAAAAAAAAAAAATACAAAAATACAAAAATAATAAGTTCCAAATTCAAACCACTCTCTGAAAAATGGAACCTTCCGCAACAGACTACCCAACAACCCTAAAAGTCTCCACACACCACCACCAACTCTTATAATTACACCCCATTTCCCTCTCAACACCCCCAACAAGAAGTACGATATTCTTATCAAGCTCTCAACTTTTTCCAATATCTGAATTCCCCTTCTCAAAATATATAAAACCCAGCTGAGATTTTCCCTCAAAAGCACTTTTCAGTTCTCACAACCATGGCTTCCACGCTGAGGCTTGCGGTGGCCTTCTCCATTCTGCTCTCTCTGTTCTCACAATCTTCCTACGCCCAAACAACAGCCTGCGGGAACTACAAATTCAACAACAACAAGGTCTTCACCTACTGCAGCAGCCTGCCGCATCTCAGCTCCTTCCTCCATTGGAGCTTCGAACAGTCAACGGGGAAGCTCCAGATGGCCTACAGGCACACTGGCGTCTCTGCCTCCAGATGGGTCGCGTGGGCCATCAATCCGGACCTCAGCAAAGCGTCGGCCGCCATGCCCGGCGCCCAAGCTCTTGTCGCTTGGCCGCAGTCCAGTGGGACGCCGAAGGTGTACAAGTCGCCGATCCAGAGCTACTCGACCACCTTGGCGGAGGGCAACCTGACGTACGAGGTTACGGATTTGACGGCGGAGTATCTGAACAACGATGAGATGATCATATTTGCAACCTGGACTCTTCCTACCAATTTTACCACCATACTTCAGGTCTGGCAAGAGGGTCCCGTTTCGAACGGCGCTCCCAGCATTCACGACACCGTCGCCGCCAATCTTAACGCCAAGGGGACTTTGGATTTGCTTTCCGGCCAGACAGCATCCACCGGTGGTAGCAGCTCAACCACTAGAAAGAGAAACGTAAGTGATTTGACTCAATTTTTCTGTCTTTAATTCTGATCCTTAAACTGCATGTCCTGACGTTTGTTTCTTAAAGTAATTTTTGGGTTTTTATTACCAAATTTGAACAAATCTTTTGTTGTTTTCAATTAATTCACAATTTTTTTTGTCAAACCATAGATTTATTATATTAAGTATTAGATTAGAGAGCCGATAAAGTTTGAAAACATTGTGATTGTGCAAGAGCTACCCTCCTTACCATCACTGTGGCAGATGGCCAACTGCAAATTCACAAATCTTTTCTTACTAAACCCTTTTTCTATTCTTAGTTTGGTTTTCTTGATAAAACTTTTGATATTTTAATCAAAACAAGTCATAAGCAATACAGTAATTAAATATAAAATAATTTAATCCTCATAGCCAGTGCCCTTATTCAATTTCTCTTTCACATTTTTTTTTCTAGAGATAAATTTTTAATAACAAAATAGTTATATTAAAGCATTCGATAAAGATATGAATATCCTCTTCAACAGAAAAAAAAAGAAACATTTAAAGGCTGTCACCAAAAATAATAGCGACAATTTTACAGTTTCCATTTTTGTAAATTTTACTATACTCAGAAATATAAATTAATCGTTTTTATACAAAACTATATAGTTTTTAATTCCGTTTATATTTTTTTTAAAGAGTACGATATTGATTTATTAGAAGAGAATAAGTATAAAATAGAAGAATAATGTGCATATAAGGACCTCAATAAAAACTTGCCGGAGATTTGAATCCAGGCAAGAGAAAAAGAGCGTTCCGCATAAATAGTTTAAATAGATATAAATTTAATTATGTGTGGAATTTAAGTGTATAGACGCATAGCCAACTTTAAGTTATTGAAAAATATTGTAAATTAATTTAAAATATGGGTAGATATTAGAACTCAAGTGGCGAAATCTGCTCTAGAGCATGTGGTTATGTACGAGTCCGCGAAAATATAGATTAATCTTTAATAGCATTAGTTGAGGAGGATCTGTGTTAAGATTTCTTCGAATTGGTAGCCACATGTTTGGTATTGGTCATTTATTAGAGTTTTAATTAAGGTCTTGACTTTAAGGTGTTTTTATTAATCTCTTCCACCTAAGTCTAGGATCAAGTGATCTGGACTCTTGAAATTTAATCTAACGGTTACAAACAAGAAGCTTTTCTAAAAGTTATAATAATTGTAGTCGATATATCAAATTTCAAAGGTTCGAATTACTTGATCTCTAGGCTTAGTGGAAGAGATCCGGAATTAACTTCATCATAATTAGTCAAATCCCCTAAGTTTTTATGGTCATTTTTGAAACAAATTACAGCGTCACGGAGTGCTGAATGCAGTGAGTTGGGGAATCTTGATGCCTTTTGGTGCCATGGTAGCAAGGTACTTGAGAGTTTTCAAGTCCGCAGACCCTGCATGGTTTTACCTTCATGCCGCTTGCCAGACCTCGGCATACGCCGTTGGCGTCGCAGGATGGGCTACCGGTATTAAACTCGGCGACGATTCTGCCGGCATCAAATATGACACACACAGAAACATTGGGATCGCCCTCTTCGCCCTTGGAACACTTCAGGTAAATTCAACATTCATCTCAACCCTAACAATGTTGTAATGTAACTTCGATCTTTGCCCTACCATGTACTAAGTGATAGCTTTGAATCTCGATGCAGGTGTTTGCTTTGCTTCTGAGACCCAACAAGGATCACAAGATCAGATTTTACTGGAACATATACCACCACGCAACCGGGTACACTGTTATCATCCTCAGCATCGTCAACATCTTCAAAGGATTCGACATCTTGAACCCTGACGATAAGTGGAAGAAGGCATACATCGGCGTGATCATTGCTTTAGGTGTCCAAGCTGCATTGTTGGAAGCTTACACGTGGTATATTGTATTGAAGAGGAAGAAGTCTGAAAAGGAAACGCACGTTTCGAACGGTGTCAACGGCCATGGGGCTTAGAGGTCGGAGGGACGAAAAGCAGAGCGCACAGAATGGTTTGTAAGAGGTAGGAGGTGGCTCTTTCGAGTTTCTTCCTCCTCTTTTGCGGCCCTTCTGTATACATTTGTTGTTGCACCCTTTTGTATATATATGACGTGAGTGTTTGTGTACACATATGTACTGAGGGAGTTCAGGATTAGAGGTTATTCTTTGGTAAATTAGTTCTTGGGCAGTCCCTGCCTGGACTTTGTGTTAGACATGCTACCAGAGAGAGAGATTAAATATATTTGTTACTTACTTATACCTGTGTTTTCTCCTTCGACATTGATTTAATTTTTGGAAAATAATTTTCGCACTCTCTTTTTCACCATCTGCACTTGTCTCTATTTTCTAGCCCTAGGATTAAATCAATCGGAGAATCAAGGGACAAAAACCAAAGGTAAGAGCGCGGAAGTAGAAAAACAAACGGAAATTATATCCTTTGATTTCTGTTTCTACATTCAACTTTCTGTTTTGCGCTAAAGCATTCTCAATCATGACTTCACTTTCATTTACTCGAAACATCAAATCTATTTCTGAAGCTAAAGAACATACAGCAAATACAAACATTGCCAACGATATATCATCATCAAAATAGGTTCGACAATTAATTTGGCATTTCACATGCCCTAAAGACGATTTCAATGGTGTAAAGGATATACTAACTTACACCCATGTAATCAAATCAGTAATCCAATTTTATGCTTCATTGAGAGGATGTTTAACTTGAAATATTTCATAGAGTGAAGAAGCTGACTCATTCCGATTCTCGCAAAACATCAACAAATGCTGCCTTAAGCAGAGGGTTTGATGCTGCTACTCTTCGAGATGTGATGTCAAGCTCCTCACCAGATCTGATGAAGAAAATTACATCCAATTCTTGACATAAGTAAAAATGTACAGATACGATGTTACATGCAAGTTTCAAGTTTTGTTAACAAAAAGATAGATGTTATCGATCTGTCAGTAGTGCACGCTTCAAAGAGAACTATTTATATTTCCAACTCAAATTAATTCTTGAATGATCTTAAGCTGAAGATAAAGTTACTTACGGATCATAAACACACCCTCCAGCTTCTGTAACAATTACAGCACCACCTGCAACATCCCTGAGGCACACGAAAAACCAATGTCAATCACTTACCGGCTACCACTAACATTAACAAGCATGGTAGAAAGAAGATCATACCAAGGACCCCCATAGCCGTCCATGTAAAATAGATCAAGCCTCCCACATGCTATTCCACAGAGGGCCAGTGCACAGGAGCCGCCCATGCGAATAGATCTCACCTGCTCAAAAGAGGGATTCATTAAAATTGGGCTGCCAACACAACTGAAGACCAGCATTTGAAAGTTCTGTTTCTACCTCAAAAAGTAGGCGATTAATTGTCCCTGTGGTTGCATCCACTGTTACGTTATCACGTTCTACTCCAACCTGCTCTTCCAGTACAAAAACATATGAGGGTTTTTAAGATTAAGAAGTTTACACATTTATCCTTACCAATTTCTAGTCTCATCGTTTAAGTAAAACGCCGCGGTGTGCTTTATTTTACACGGGGATAGGGTAGAAAAACAACAAATCAGCCCATTTATGTATAACAATAATAAACTACCATCCATCAATCAGAGAGCTCTATACCTCAGTTACAAGGAGAGACTTCACAAGTTCAGTCTGAGATGATACTGCACTAATTCAAAACATTTTTAAGCATTAAATAGGAAATTCTGTAACCACTTGGAAACAATAAAGTGCATGGTTAAAAACAGAATAATCACCTTTTATAGGATTTCCATTGAGAAATGCACCTCCTCCGCGTATGCCAGTAAAGAGCTACGTATAATGAAACCCGAAGTTAACACACTTTATTCGGCTAGTACTACTTAGAGAGCAAGTTTTCATATTTCAACTCAGAAGCTATTCGCTGTAAAACTTATAATTCTAACATCTATTAGAACAAGAGTCGTGGTTAACCACTGGAGTTTAAACATTAGCGGAGATAAGAATCCTAACCTCATCAATTATTGGGTTGTAAACAACACCAATTGTAGGAATCTTTCCAATTGTAAGGCCGATTGAGACACAGACAAAGGGGAACCTATAACAGCAACGAGAAGCAATCAGCACAGAGAAAATAAACAATCATCTACAACACAAGAAGCGACTTTTACCCATGTACAAAGTTAATGGTTCCATCTACGGGATCAACTAGCCATGTGGGGTCATCAGTCAGCTCCGTTACACCATTAGCAGCAGTAGTCTCTTCCCCAATGAACTAAAGGTAACACCGACTAAAATAATTCAGAGCATGTAGAGAAAAACCTAGTCCTAGGAGATACAATGATATTCTAAGCAACAATGAGGAACTTTGCTGATACATGGGGATGAAGAGTTAACTCTTAACCTTATGTGTGGGGTAAAGTTGCTTGAGATGATTAAATATGAGATCTTCGCATGCCTTATCAGTTTCCGTGACCAAATCCACCTGCACTCCCAACAGAATTGGAAGATTAACAGAAAAATAATGTTTTGATCACGAAATTTCGTTTTGCTACATCTTGCATTCAACACTGAGCTATCTCAAAACCACATGATATAACTTTCTCCATTCAAATTCTAACTGCAGCTGCCACAGGCGAAAAGTTATTCGAAATTTGTTCACTAACATGTCTTCGATGCTTGTCAAGTAATCAAATTTTAAATCTTTCACTTCAAAAAATTATACTAACATTGAATCAGCAATTATACTTCTAAGATCCAATTGCCAAACACCTATTTGATTTAACAATTAATAAAAAACAAGAAAAACAAATCAAAAGACCTGGCCTTTGTACTCCACATGCTTGGTCTCGTAGAACCCTTTTCGAATTATCTGCAATGAAATCATATAGCACACAGATTGCACACTTTGTTTCAATTACTGCTGAGTAAAAATTAGATAAAAACAAAAATTAGTTAAAGGGGCGGAGGGGACTGACCTCGCCGGCTTTCTTGGCTGCATCAACGGCGGAGGAGAGGAACTGAGCAAGCGAATCTACAACCCACCACCAGAAATTATGCAAAACAAATCGCAAATTAATTTTATATGAAAAAAAAAGACAGAAAATGGAGATGAATTTTAACGAAATGGAGAGAATCTACCATTTGCCGCCATTATTAACGGTCTGATGAGAGAAGGAAATGCAGATTGAGTAATAGTTGGAGATGCTAACGAGTATTGTCGACGATGGAGCTAACAGGTGACTCAGACTGATTAAATAATTAAACTAAATATATAGGCGATTCGTTCATCGCATAAAGTATAATGCCAATGCTATTCGTTTATCGCATAAAATATGATGCCGACACCAATGATACGGTTCCTGTGTCTGATTTACGATGAATTTTTCAATCTAATCGTACATGAAATGGTATATTATATGTTATTATATAAATAATAGGATGTGTGCGTTAAAAAATTAATTACTTAGAAAATAAAATTTAAGAACATATAAAATAACCATTTATGAAATCATCAATTTCACGTCTTTTTTTCTTCAGACAAGGGTAAATTCATTATCAAACCAGCAAATTACAGAGGCCAAATTACAACATTAAGCTCAAAATATAGAGATGGACCCCCAAATCAAACTAAAACAGAGCTCAAAACAAAAAAATAACCAGAGAAACAAAAAATTCTAACATCCGCCACCAACATCCTTATTATCACCGTGGAACTATTGAACACCAAAAGAAGAGGCAGAAGGCTCGACGTGAGATTTGTAGAGGATGGTTAACAAGACTAGAAACATATTATGAAATCATCCAATTTCTTTTACCTACTAACTTCATGAAAGACCAATAACTCCTTTATCGAATGTTCCACATTATCCCACACAATAGTCACATAATTTGATGTGAGGGTAGGCAAGTCCTCATCTCTGACCGCAATGGGAAGCCAATAGTGAATGTTAAGTGGATCGATAAACTTCATCCGACCCTGAAAGACATTCTGAAATGCCAACTTCTTCTTCTTTATTTTGTTGTACTCGTTAACTGCAAACTCTGCGATCTCTTTCACATATGCGTCGCTAATGTTCTTGATCGGCTGCCAATCATCGCCTTGGGCTGTGACCAAGGGAGGAAAGAGGAGGCAAAAGATCAGTGTTGCAATTGCCAGGATACCATATAATCTGGTCATTTTTGTAATGAAGAGACGCATTGAGAGCGCAATAGAATTTATAGTGGATTTCGTTCCTTAATTTTATGGTGATGTTATTATGACGTTAAAACACTTTCTTTTCTAATGATCCATTTCCGCTTTTATCCAGATTGAGGCGATTATAATAGTTCCAAAATTGTTTTTCCTATTTACTTAGTTGCTAAACATGAATCTATTTCCTATGTTTGGGTTGTATACGAATGTCATATAAGTTTATAAAGGAAAATCACATATATTTTAAAAGGGAGCATTTTTGCTCATCATCATAAACTATGGTGTATGCTCACCATACACCTAATCAATTGACACGTGTCATTTCACTTAATCTTAGTTAATTTTTTTCAAAATTGAAAAACTAACATTTAATGTGAAAGTTAACTAGAGTTAAGTGAAATAACACGTGTCAATTGATTAGGTGTATGGTGAGCATACACCATAGTTTATGGTGGTGAGCAAAAATGCACTCTATTTTAAAATTACATTTTGAAAGTTGACTTGCTAAGACCACATATTTGAAATATGTGGGTAAACAATTTTCCTATATTTTGTAGATTCTCAATTTAAATTTATACAAATAATATTCTTATACGTGGTAGGTAAATTGTTTTTTTATGTATTACTAAACTTTTTAAGAAAAACTAAAGAAAAGTCCAAAAAAACTTATCTTTTAACGAAAAATCATTTTTAAAGGTATAATGAATAATGCAAGTTAAAGATAAAAATGTGGTTTTTCGTTAAAAGTGAACAGTACCGGAAGTGTTATTGTTGTAAATGAGTAAATAATTGACAATATATATCAAGACATCAATTCTCATAATTTTTTTTTAATATGCATTGAATTTGCAGTTAACAAACAAGTAATTAGGGGCATTAAGACATCCAAAAAATTACAAAATGTGCGAAAGCAAATTTAATTAAAGAATTTGCTTGGGTTGGGTCAAATCTTCAAAACTCATGTTGTGTGTGTGGTCGCCATGATAATTTTAGAACTCAGTTCACATGAAGAAAATTAGATTGAAGATCAATTATTCCCTCGATTTATTTATTATAATGAAAGATGATAAGCTTCAAGCAAACTAGAGTCCAGAGTACATGATTGCATAAACACAACAACTAAAATATAAAACGAAACCTAGTTAGGGTTTGACAATCGATGAAATGATGTCAACTGCTTAAAATGCAGCCTAGTCCTCTCCCACACAATACCCTCGTATTCCGCGGGAGTGGCATCATTGGGATCAGCCACGGACTTGTTCTTAGCGGAAATGACAAGCCGGTAGTTCATGCCCGCCACCAGCTGTCTGTCGCCCCGGACGACCCTCTCAAACGCCAGCTTGTTCTGGCCTTTGGCTTGCTCGTTGTACTCCGACACCGCAAACTCTGCAATCTCCTTCACATGGGGGTCGCTGATGTTCTCTATGGGCCACCAACCGCCACATATACGGCCCCGTCGGTTATCAGTCTCCGTGACCAAATGCACCTGCACTCCCCAACAGAATTGGAAGATTAACAGAAAAATAATGTTTTGATCACGAAATTTCGTTTTGCTACATCTTGCACTCAACACTGAGCTATCTCAAAACCACATAATATAACTTTCTCCATTCAAATTCTAACTGCAGCTGCCACAGGCGAAAAGTTATTCGAAATTCTTTCACTAACATGCCTTCGATGCTTGTCAAGTAATCAAATTTTAAATCTTTCACTTTAAAAAAATTATACTAACATTGAATCAGCAATTATACTTCTAAGATCCAATTGCCAAACACCCATTTGATTTAACAATTAATAAAAAACAAGAAAAACAAGTCAAAAGACCTGGCCTTTGTACTCCACATGCTTGGTCTCTTAGAACCCTTGTGGAATTAAAATCATATAGCACACAGATTGCACATTTTGTTTCAATTACTGCTGAGTAAAAACTAAATAAAAACAAAAATTAGTTAAAGGGGCGGAGGGGACTAACCTCGCCGGCTTTTTTGGCTGCATCAACGGCGGAGGAGGGGAACTGAGCAAGCGAATCTACAACCCACCACCAGAATGTTAGTGTTTTGGAAGGTTTATATTTTGTAGAAATGTTCTTGACAGGGTTTTTGGTTATGGAAAACACAGAAATGTAAGGAGGGATTTCGGCTATTGGAGTCAGCACTCTTAGCAGCTCATAGCAAACATATATATATATGCTGTCAGTAGGGTTTTGGTATACAAGGTCAAAACTTATCTCCATTGGAGTTAGTTGACAAAAACCACAACCACCAGATAGTACTAAGCTAATCTGAGCTTTTAATCTAAGCTTTACACTTGTATAAAAAAACATTACTTAAAAAACAACTAGCCGTTACAAAACTAGCCGTTAGCATGTAGCTGCTTCATTTCTTCGATCAAACTGGAAGTGTTTAGCATCCAACACAGAAATTATGCAAAACAAATTGCAAATTAATTTTACATGAAAAAAAGAAGACAGAAATGTTGAATTATAAGTCTATAGCTGTTTTAGAAATAAGTTGTGATGTTAATATGTGTATGCACTTATGTTAAATACTAAGTGAGAAGATATATAGATGTAAAGGCCATGAGTGCCATGTGTGATGATCTTAGCTATTAGTTAAAGGTGTGGCTGAGATCTGTTTTCAATGTTTTGATCCAGCTCAGTTTTGTAAAAGCAATATATATCTCCTTTCGCACGTTGTGTAAAAGAGTGTGAGGCATTCAATGAAAACAATGTCCTTCTTCTGAATTGCTGCAGAAGAAAGAAACAACCACCTTCTTCTCTCTCTGTTAATTCTTTTCCCCATTAGAATTCACTCTATCAAACACTAACATGGCCTCAGAGCCGGTTCCGATCAACTGAGTCTGGGCGTGAAGCTGTGAAGTCACTGAGCTAAGTCGAAGCTTGGTGAAGGTTGCCGGAGTTCTATTTGAGGAGAAAATCAACAGTCGGACCAAGATGTCTGGATCTGGAAGCTCGGAGGTGAGAACTCCAATTTTCTCCGGTGAGAACTACGAGTTCTGGAGGATTAAGATGGCAACAATCTTCAAATCGCTTGGGTTATGGAACCTGGTGGAGAAAGGGATTACAACCCCTGAATCGAAGAAGAAGAAGGAAGCTGAAGGGTCATCGGACGATGCAGTCGATGAAGAAATGACTGCTATGTCTATGAAGGATGCAAAGGCCCTAGGAATCATTCAAAATGCAGTATCTGATCAGATCTTCCCTCGGATTGCTAACGCTGATTCAGCTAAGATGGCATGGGATCTCTTGTATGGAGAATACCATGGTGGTGATCAGGTTAGGTCTGTAAAACTTCAGAATCTTAGACGTGAGTTTGAATATGCTAGAATGCGTGATGATGAATCTTTGACTGGGTATCTTACTCGTTTAAATGATCTGATTAATCAAATGAAGACGTTTGGTGAAGCTCTATCAAATGAGAGATTAGTTCAGAAGGTGTTAATTAGTCTCACTAAGATGTATGATCCTATTTGTTTAGTGATAGAAAATACCAAATGTTTAGAGTCTGTTGAACTGCAAGAAGTACTAGCTATATTGAAGAGTCAAGAGCAGAGGTTTGATTTGCATTCCTCTGATGCAACTGAGAGAGCATTTTCTTCACTTACTGTTAATTCAAAAGGGCAGAATCGAAGTTATGCTCAGTCTAATACTTTTAAGCCACAGAGAAATTGGAATCAAAATGGTAAAAAGTGGGACTCAAAACCCAAGTTTCAGCAAAAGTCATTTTCTAATTCTGCACATAATAGTACTCATTCTCTAACCATGGGTCAAGAGGGTACAAAAACCTCAGTGCAAAGTGTGCTCCAAATTTCATTATGGTGAATGTAGGCATAAAGGGAAATCCAAGTGCTATAACTGTGATAAAATTTTGGTCATTGGGCCAAAGAAATGTGTACTGCTGGAAAAGCTATTCAGAAAGCAAACTGTACAAATCAAATGGAGGTGACTGGAAATTTATTTTATGCAAATAGTGCTATTGCTGAAACAAAAGTTAATGGGGAATGGTATATAGATAGTGGCTGCAGTAATCATATGACAGGGAATGTTGATCTTCTTGTTGATATATGAAGACAAAATGTTGCAGGGAAAGTTCAAATGCCAACAGGAGTGTTAGTTAATGTGGCAGGAATGGGATCACTGGAAATTGAAACTAACAGAGGGAAGAAATACATCAGAGAAGTCATGTACTTACCTGGTTTGAAAGAGAATCTATTACGTGTAGGACAAATGGATGAGCACGGATATTATCTTGTGTTTGGTGGACATATGTGTACTGTTTTTTATGGTCCTTCTCTGGAATGTCAAATTATCCGTGTGAAAATGAAAGAAAACAGGTGCTATCCTCTATCTCTAAGGCCTGAGAAACAACTTGTGTTGAAGACTAGTCTTGCTCATTGTTCTTTGACTTGGCACAGAAGATTAGGTCACCTAAACTTTGGTGGAATCAAACAATTGAAGGATAAAGACATGGTTCATGGTCTACCATATCTAGATGAGTATGATAGAGTCTGTGAAGGCTGTCAATATGGTAAGCAACACAGAGAAAGCTTTCCTAGTGGTCAAGCACAAAGAGCAGGTGCTCCACTTGAATTGGTTCATGTTGATCTATGTGGACCAATGAGAAATGAATCCACTGGAGGAAACAAGTACTTTACGTTGATTGTGGATGATGCAACAAGAATGATTTGGGTATACTTTCTTAGATATAAATCTGATGCTTTTTCTTGCTTCAAGAAATTTAAAGCAATGACTGAGCTGCAAACTGGTTTAAAGGTGAAATGCCTGAGGAGTGACAGAGGAGGGGGAGTTCTTGTCTTCTGAGTTCAATCATTTCTGTGACACAGAAGGCATTCAAAGGCAACTCTCTCTTGCATACACACCACAACAAAATGGTGTGGTTGAGAGGAAAAATAGAACAGTGATTGAAATGGCTAAGTCTATGCTACATGATAAAGGAATGCCGTACTATATGTGGGCAGAAGTTGTACATACTGCAGTTTACATTTTAAATCGATGTCCTACCAAATCTCTTGCCAACATAACCCCCTTTGAAGCCTACAGTGGAAGGAAACCTGGTATTGCTCATTTGAAGGTCTTTGGTTCAATCTGTTATGTTCACACTCCATCTGAGCTAAGGCATAAACTAGAAGCTAAAAGTATAAAGGGAGTTTTTGTTGGTTATGCCAAGTGTGAGAAAGGGTACAGAATTTTTGATCCACTCTCCAAAAGGTTGATATTGTCAAGAGATGTTGTGATTGATGAAGATTCAAGTTGGGACTGGCAGGGAAGCTCAAATAAACAGGTGACTATGCCTAATTATGAATGGCAGTCAATTGATACCAAGGAGTGAGTTCACAGATGATGAGACTCAAGTCTCAAATAATTCATCACCAGGTTATTTGAGAGAAACTCTAAGTGATACTGATGATGCTCAGATTACTCCACAAGCACAGTCAAGTGAGTTCTCTAGCAGAGTATGTGAAAATGTGAGAGATTCACAAGCTTTTGATCATACTCCATTGAAATGGAGAAATCTGGAAGATGTTCTTGCTTAGTGCAACTTGTGCATCATAGAACCAGAAAAGTATGAAGATGCTGAAAAGGATGAGTCTTGGATGAAAGCCATGAAGGATGAGCTTTCCATGATAGAGAAGAATGCAACCTGGAAGTTGGTAGACAGACCAACTAATAAGCCTATAATTGGAGTTAAATGGGTATTTAAAACCAAACTCAACCTTGATGGAACTGTGCAAAAGAACAAGGCTAGGCTTGTTGCAAAGGGATATGCCCAGAAACCAGGAATAGACTATAATGAGACTTTTGCCCTTGTTGCTAGGTTGGATACAATCAGAACTCTTATTGCCTTGGCTGCACAAAAGAGTTGGAAACTCTATCAGCTTGATGTAAAATCGGCCTTTCTTAATGGGTTCTGGAAGAGGAGGTGTTTGTAGAGCAACCTGATGGATTTGTAATCACAGGAAAGGAAGACAAAGTGTATAAACTCCATAAAGCTCTCTATGGTCTCAAACAGGCTCCCAGAGCTTGGTTATGGGGAGATTGATACCTATTTTACACAGTGTTGGTTTTTTATGAAAAGCCTAAGTGAGGCTACTCTTTACACCAAAACAAGGGGAGATGAAATTCTGATTGTTTCAATCTACGTGGATGACATTGTGTATACTGGGAACATCAATGATCTGTTGAAAGAATTTAAGGAAGATATGATGATCAAATATGAAATGACTGATTTGGGTCTTCTCCATCATTTTCTTGGCATAGGAATTATTCAAACTCAGTCTAGCATTTTCATTCACCAAAGAAAATATGTTGTCTCTCTGTTGAACAAATTTGGCCTAAGTGAATGCAAATCTGTATCTACTCCTCTTGTTCCTTCAGACAAACTGTGTAAAGATGATGGTAGTGGATCAGCAAATGAGGAACAATATAGAAGAATTGTGGGAAGCCTGCTATATCTTACAGCCACTCGACCAGATATAATGTATGCTTCCAGTCTTCTTGCTAGATTCATGCACAGCCCCACAAAAACAAGCATTTTGGTACTGCTAAAAGAGTGCTAAGATACATTAAAGGCACCCTGGATTATGGCTTGGAGTATGTGAAGGGAAAGAAGGCAATGTTGATTGGTTTTTGTGATAGTGATTGGGGAGGATCTGTTGATAACAGCAAGAGTACTTCTGGATATGCCTTTTCTTTTGGCAGTGGGGTGTTTTCATGGGCTTCGGTGAAACAAAATTGTGTAGCCCTCTCCACTGCAGAAGCAGAGTATATTAGTGCCTCTGAGGCAACTGCTCAAGCTATTTGGCTTCGGTTTGTTCTTGAAGATTTTGGTGAGTTACAAACTGAAGCAACTCCAATGCATTGTGACAACACTGCTGCAATTGCAATCACCAAGAATCCTGTGTTTCATCAGAAAACTAAACACATTGACAGGAGGTTTCATTTTATCAAAGATGCTCTACAAGAAGGCATCATTGATCTGATCTACTGTCCCACAGAAGAACAATTGGCAGATATCTTCACAAAGCCTCTCACCAAAGATCGATTTAATCTTCTCAGAAGCAAACTTGGAGTGAAATCAGCTTTAGACTTAAAGGGGAGTGTTGAATTATAAGTCTATAGCTGTTTTAGAAATAAGTTGTGATGTTAATATGTGTATGCACTTATGTTAAATACTAAGTGAGAAGATATATAGATGTAAAGGCCATGAGTGCCATGTGTGATGATCTTAGCTATTAGTTAAAGGTGTGGCTGAGATCTGTTTTCAATGTTTTAATCCAGCTCAGTTTTGTAAAAGCAATATATATCTCCTTTCGCACGTTGTGTAAAAAGAGTGTGAGGCATTCAATGAAAACAATGTCCTTCTTCTGAATTGCTGCAGAAGAAAGAAACAACCACCTTCTTCTCTCTCTGTTAATTCTTTTCCCCATTAGAATTCACTCTATCAAACACTAACAAGAAATTGGAGATTTTATTAGAATTTAAACGAAATGGTGAGAATCTACCATTTGCCGCCATTATTAACGTCTGATGAGAGAAGGAAATGCAGATTGAATAATAGTTGGAGATGTAAGAAGAGAAGCTTGAAGCTTTAACAATGGAGGTTTCACACTTAGAGAGAGAGAGAGATTGCAGAAAATTAGAGAGAGTAAGAGAAAACAATTCTTTTGAGTTATATTTTTCACACTGAATCATTACAAGCTATTGCTATATACACTGCACTTTTCTTACGAACTAAGCTAGCTCATAACAAACTTAACAAACATATCAGCTTGATCTATTGACACATGGCAGCACATCAGCCATTGGATTGATCCTGTGTTTTTATACCTTTACATCCCCCCTCAGTCTCATGCTTATTAGAACTAAGCATGAGATTGGAACAATGATCTTGAAACAAAGAAATAGACAATCCTTTAGTAAGAATGTCAGCAAATTGCTCCTTGGAAGGAAATGCAGATTGAGTAATAGTTGGAGATGCTAACGAGTATTGTCGACGATGGAGCTACAGGTGACTGAGACTGATTAAATAATTAAACTAAATATATAAGCGATTCGTTCATCGCATAAAGTATAATGCCAATGCCATTCATTTATCGCATAAAGTATGATGCCGACACTAAAAATACGGTTCCCTATGTCTGATTTACGATGATTTTTTCAATCGAAATATAGAATGGTACATTATATGTCATTATATAAATAATGGGATGTATGTGCTAAAAAATTAATAACTTAGAAAATAAAATTTTCTACCATTTCTACTCAAACACGTGATGTACCACTTATGTTCCGATCACAATAAAAAATTCTCCTGATTTACACGACGATACTAGGTTTAATTACTCTATTACACTCAAAGATCCATCGAATCTTGTCGTTTTTCAAAACTCACGTTGACCCAGCTCGTGTCGTGTGACGTGTGAGTATGTCACAGGGCCAGGTCCAAAGTATATTGATAATTATTTATAAGTGAAATTTAGAAAAAGGCGATGGAGATTTAGAAAAAGGTGATGGAGTAATTTATGCGGTATTCCTGATGATAAGGTAAGTATGGTCATTTGATGGGGGAGATTCATAGAATATGCCAATATGCTGTGTTCGATATTCATTGTTCGTATTTCTCGTAAGGACAGCATATGATTTCTTTTTCTTTTTAAAAAAGAAAATAATTGGTGGCCAAGGTCAGAGCTGCCATGGTCTTTTTGGGGGGGGGGGGGGATGCCCCCACTGATATTTTTATGAGTCTGCTCATATTGATCTGGTCCCCGAGATTTTTCTGGTTCTGCAGCAGCAGCAGAGCTGGGCGTTATTTAGTACAAAAAAAAATTAAAGAAAAGTAAACGAAACGGGTCGTTTCGTATATGTTAAAAAAAAAAGAGTATGTATAGTGGGGGACCGCTTGTCCCCACGGTCCACCCCCATTCCATCTCCGTTTCATTTTTATTTGCCTTTATCAATCAGAGAGCAGTGTCCCCAAATTCCCAGCAGCTTGAAACGGAACGGAACGGAACGGAACAGGAGCAAACGTGCTTTTCCCAGCCAGTGTAGTGCAACCACATCAACAGCCAGCCACTCTTTAGCCGACATATATATGTATATATATATATATATTTATTTAGGTAAATTTTTTAATTCCTAAATCTATAATCCCTAACCCTAATTAATGATTTAAGACGAATTTTTGTTTAATTGGTATAGAAATATAGAATCCTATGGTATGCACTAATATGGTTATTGGTTATTGATTATTAATATGAATTCTATGATTATTGATGAATGAAATTATGAAATTACAAATTCTATGAATATGGGTATACATTTATTCATATGATTAGTTGAATTAAATGTTTATTTGTTGAATAATTTGTATGCTTATTGGTATTGGTTAATTGAATTGTTGGTTTGATTAGTTATTAGGCATATTAGTATAACATACTCTAGGATTAAGAGTCTAAGAATTTTATTGAGATTTTTATTCTATAAATTCTACAAATTACGTATGAACTTTATATGTTATTCGTATCAATATGACTGACTTTGCAGACTAAAACATCATGGAGAGATTTTTCAAAAAAATATCAGTGCCGCCATCCCCAATTATTGAGAAAAATAATGATACTCGGGGACAAGATAGTACCAAATTTATTTTATCAAATCTTCCATTATATCCTGGTAAGCGAATTCGAATTTTGGATTACAATCCTAATATTCGAGATCAAGTACGAATAGCGTATGTGCTAGCTAGTCCTCGACAACCTAAAACCCATAATTTTCCTTACAAGAAATATGAAGACAAGCAAAGACGATTCAACCCTACATGGTTTGATGATTTTCCTACTTGGTTGGAATATAATGTAGAAAAAGATGCTGCATATGACTAATGTTGTATCTACTGTTGCTGCATATGGAGTCTACTACCAAGGTGACCCCTAGGGTAAATCTCTAGGGTAAGACTCATTGTAATCTTTAGGGTAAGGTATGTAAATCACCTTTTCCTTGATTTAAGGGAGAAGACTGATTGGAGTAATGTCTTTGTGTAATGTTTAGATTAGGTAGGCAACACGCCTTCTTCTTTCTTGTCGGCTGCTTGCTGCATCCATCCTTCCCATCTATTTTCCCTCTCTCTTCTCATATATACCCGGACTCACTCTTATACAAATATACATTGAAACTTTAAACCAGAAAATCTACAACTTTGTTGTTTGAGGATGCCCCCATTCACACAAATCTTTGGCTTCGTCCCTGTTGGTGGCAAGTCACGGTTATCCATCCTTTCGAGGGTCGGGAAAACTCACAAAGTCATTTCAACCTTTTCCTGGCCACAAATCTAGCTTCCACACCATCAGCAAGTTTCGAATCCGAGACCTCCAGTATTTAGTTTTAAGAAAGCCTCGTAATCCATCATTTACCATTGCACCACCAACTCGTGGTTAAGGACAGCATATGATTGGAATGTGGAACAAGTGCGTGCCAGTGCCAGAGGAACCCCTATTCCCAAACCAGAAACCAGAAAATGACCATTCTATTCTCATCGTGAGAAAAAGATATGACGCTTTGATCATGAGGAACCTCTAAACTGTTTTAGATCTAACTGCGGAATTCAACACGCAATGTTCACGAAAACTTCAAGCACGAGTCTCTTCTTCGGTCGGTCTACAAGCCAACTATGCGCAAGGTTATGCGTCCATCAAATAATACGGCACTAGCGCGACACTTGGGGCGAATTTGAATACATTACAATTTACAAGCATGCGTGCTCAACCATTTTAAACAATTGCATCACCCAAGTACAACAACATCAAACATTTTACCAATTTATTTATCTACCTTTTGCAAAAGTATAATTTAGAAACTACATATGAAAAAAGGAACAAGGGGGATAAGGCTCCTTCGAAAATTAAATAGCGTCAAACAAACACAAAGAACTATGAAAACTCTAAAACTCACAAATAGAACAAGAAACTCAATATTCCGCATACAAGACAAGTTCCTTCATGAGTCTTTGGGTTCCATGGCAGCTATTTCTCTCACTACTTGAGCCTTGTCTGCCTCAAATTGTTCATCCTCTGCAACAAAACATTTGAAAAAATGTAACCAAAGTGCCAAACTACTAACAACAAACTCTGAATAAAAACTTGCACCTACCTTTATCTATCTTAAAATCAGCAAACAGCCGTAAAAGCTTGCTTCTATTGGCAACAAGTATGCTCACAATGTCGGCGGGTTTATTTTGATTAGCAGCAAACAACTGCAAAAACTAAAACATATTAACGAGAACTAAAGAGTAACCCTGAACAATAACAAATCAAAATGGTAATCAAACCTTGAAAACATGAAATGCTTCAATCTGAATGCTCTTGCTTGATTCCTACAGATAGAAACCCCAAAATTATGCATGTAAGAAATAGGTATACCAAATGCAACGCAAATTGTAATTTCAAAGGCTTGCACTAATACATATTGTGCATGTAAGAAATAGGTATACCAAATGCAAAGCAAATGGTAATTTCAAAGGCTTGCACTAAAACATATTATGCATGTAAGAGCATATCATACTATTCAATGCCTGGAACAAGAGGGGAGGGGGAAGGTTCATGGAAATTAGCAATAATCAATACAGGAGGTATATCATACTCTGAGAAGATTCATAAGGATCCTCAAGTTGTCCCTTGAGCTCACGTATCGAGTCATCACAGCTGAGTTTGACCGATCCAACAAAATATCTCCTAACAACTGTAATTAATAAACAAGCATCTTCAGCAAACATCATAAGAGCATCTCAGCAAACGTCACAAGAAGCATGTAGCCTATTTCAAAAACGTCCAAATCATGCAGCCTATTTCAAAAATGTGATGAAACAAGAGAATACAAGGTACTTCAACAAGCACATCAAGGTCATGCAATATACTATTTAAGAGAGCTATTTGTGGTCAAATATTCATCATACCTTGACAGCTTGTCGTCTGGTAATATAATTGGAGGATTCCAGTAGCTTTGAGTTATACTCCGCAAAAAACTGTCATAAAAATAGAAATATCATGTTTCTTATTGCCCACATGCATGTGTTCCATGCGGATGAAAGGAGATACATGAAAAAAAACATCTGTACATAGAAAGTAACCCTTACCCAATCATAGTTCTTGGAAAGAAAATCCGCTACAGTAGATTTGTGCCTCGTCAAGAGTTCCTACAGAGAGATGTTCCAAAAATCAGAATGATTATAGTACAACTGCAGCTAGACAAGTACGTGAGTTGAATAAATGGCTTTAAGAACAAGAAATATTGATAATGAAAAAGAAATTAAAAAAATTGCTCTATATAGATCAGCAAACCACATTAAATCTGTATCAGGCTTTGAGGTTTCAGATAAGAACATTGTTGACCATAATTGCACTATTGGAAAAATCTACTATTATACAGGGAAGCAGATAGTGTATTCAATATTCCCACATGCATGAAGGTCAACGCATTATTGGCTAAACAACAAATGAATCATGAATCATTTTGAGTGTTTAGTTTATCCAAAGGCATGCAACAATGTTCATTAAACTCAAAGTGTTAATTTTTATGAAAACAAACACATGACTATACTGTGAGACTAACTCAACCTTAAAAGTTGCAGCAGCATCTGCAGCAATATCAAAATTGGGGAGCTGTATATAATCAAAAAACTTCTTCATGTGTTGTGATTCCA